AATATAATTTCTAGAAAAATAGCTATTGAAGAAATTGATTGATTGTGACGACAAAAGTGGAATGAAGTTGAATTGATCTCGGAAAAAAAGTAGAAAATGATCTCAAAGTGCTTAATTAGGCCAAAAATGATGAAAATAATCTCGTTTTTTCAGGTTCAAATTAACAGAAAGATGATCTCGAAATAAAAGTCATTGGTACTGAAGCAACGAAATTAGAGAAAAAGATCTTGATTTAATATGATGAAAAGAAAAATACAGTATATTGTCCTAGTTTATTCGTATGCTAATAAACAAGATATATTATTAATGTTATATTTATTATTACGTATAAAAATACATAAGATAAAGATGTACAATAAATTAGTCCTTCAACAGGGCATATTTAACTTTTTTTCTTCAATCATTGACATTTCTTTTTCCAATTAACTGTAAGATTGTTCGAACTTCTCAACTCATCATAAGACCTGTTGTATAGATGCATGAATATTGTTTGAGACCAAGTTTACAAGAACAGAATATTGGAGATAACATTTTAGAATAGTTTAAGATTCGTGCAGATCTTAATCATTGTTTGAAATGATCATAGGATATCGTCTCATCGGTTGACTCATTTTTTCTCTCTCCTGTTCATCATCGTATCCATCATATACACTCGTCTATACTACCACATGTGCACATATGTAGAAAAAACTGAGATCTTTTTCTGCGCTTTCATTGCTTTAGCATTAACAGCTTTTTTCCGAGACCGTTTTCATGTTAATTTGAGCTTGAAAAAAAAAACGAGATCACTTTTCTCGTTTTCTTCGAGCTGAATTTCTTTTTTTCCCATTTTAGCTATTACACTATTAAACTGTTTTTTATTTTATGATTGTTTTAATTTCGTCTTGTTTGGCTTTTACTACTTGTAAGTTTTTGATGTGTGCCATTTTATTTTCGATGAATACTTATTTATTTTTAGTCATCTCAAACTCTCTTGTAAACTTGTATGAGCTCATGGATGGAATTGATACCGGCGACCGATCCGAGCCGGTACCGGTAAGGATTTTTGATGGACCAGTCTACGGAGATCGACTGGTTTTCTAGTAGATCGGTCGATTGCTGGTATGCTCTATCCTTTTCCTGGTCTTATTAGAAATAGAAATATTTGTCGAGCTTAAACCAGTCAACTGATGTATAAAATGGGTGAAGACAATCGCCTTTCACTTTAAAGTCCATATTCTTTAGTCAATTCAGGGATTACAGAAGTACAGTCGATATTAACATGGGTTTCAGACCAGCCGGTCCGATCCGCTCTGAATGAACCAAACCGGTACCGGTACCGATATTGGTCGACAAAAATCCAGACCGGTTCCATCTATGTATGAGTTTTTTTAAATGTTTTGTCATTACTTTCAGAAATAGATACCTATGTAGACTGACAGTCAAGCAAAGATGTAGATAAGCATATAGATTCGAAAGAATGTAATTTTTCTCATTCTTTTGATGGAAACGAGTGCAAGGGATTTGCTCAAAACGTGAAATTTCTTATTCATTGTTCAGAAGGAAAACGGTGAAGAACCCATTCTGACAAAATATCGGGTTGATGCAAAAGTCTCCGCCGATTTTTTTCTTCTTCTCGGTTTCGAGATTTTATTGAAATAAAATGTCATCAATCAACAACATATACACCGTTGTTATCTATTGCATTCTCCCATCTTTTAGGCAAGTCCAGAATACCATCTTCAAAGAACTTCACAGACAAAGACAAAAAATAAGTTTCGATGTCCGATTTTAGGTGGGCTTGATCATCGAAGTGTTTTTTGACCAGATGATTGCGGAGCGATCAAAACAAATGATAGTCAGATGGTGTCAAGTCTGGTGAATATGGTGGATGAGGTAGGACCTCTCAGCCTAATTCTTCCAGCTTTTGGCGAGTGACCTTAGCCGTATGAGGTTTTGCATTGTCATGAAGTAATCGAACTTTTCGTTTTTCAGGACGATTTGCTTGCAATGCAACCTTCAGATTTTGGAGTTGTTTGCAGTACAGCTTCGAGTCGACGGTAGTGTTAGGCGGAAGGAGTTCCCAGTAAATAATACCTTGAAAATCCCACCTAATTGAGAGCATCACCTTTTTCGGGTGCAGGTCGTTTTTTGGTTCTGGTTTGGGCAAATCTTCAGGATTTACCCACTGGCGCTTGCGCGTATGGTTGACATATAGAACCCACTTTTCATCACCAATAACTATCTGCTGAAGAAATCTATGTCGGTTGCGTTTTGACAACAAAGAATTGCATATGGTGATTCTTTGCTGTACGTTGTCCGAGGTTAATTGATGTGGAACCCATGTTCCAAGTTTATTAACTTTTCTCATTTTATGCAAATGGCGATCAATGGTGGATTGGTCGCACCCGAGCATTGCTGACAATTCATGGGTGGTTAATCGTGAATTGTCTTCGATCAGGACTTTTAATCGTTCAATATCAGACTCGTGAGGACGTCCAGATCTCGGACGATCTTCTAATGACATGTCACCTTCACGAAATCTTTTAAACCAATCTCGACACGTTCGATCAGCAACAGCACCTTCACCAAGTGCAGCACATATATTGCGGGCAGCAGCACTTGCATTGTTCCCTAATTGGAACTCATACAAAATGCAGTGTCGAAAATGAATAGGAATCTCTGACATATTTTAATGAAGAATGTAAATAAACTGGGACATTAACCAATGTCATTTTATAGTACTACACAAGCGGTATCATATGTATGAAAATCGCGAAAGCATAGTAGCGCTAGAGGGCTTTAAGAAATTTTTAAAAAAATCGGCGGAGACTTTTGCATCAACCCAATAAAATTAGCAAATAATCGACAAATATGTGTGTTCGTAAATGATATACAAAAGAAAAATAAAGAATTTTATTTGACTTATTTTGTTTTAGCAATATCATCATCGTCATCATGTATATTAGTTAATTTGTCGAAATAATCAATGTATTTGAAGAAGAAAAATTTATGATGATCATATTGATTGTTTGAATAATTCAGATGAAGATACAAAATTTTCTTACAATAAAAATTTCTCTTTTTATTGAGTAAATTTTATTATGATCTTTCTTGACTGTCTATACTTGTCGATCAAGTGAATATCGATGATTAAGTTGTGATTATATTCTATATGTTGAAAGATAATAATCGAAAGGTTAACAAAAATTATGGAAAGATAAGAAATATTTTGTTTAATATTATGTTGTAATGATAGTAATAATTGAAAATAATCCATTTCTCAACCATGCATATGTCCATAATGTCCAGAATGATAATTTACTTGTCGTAATTTTTGTTCTATTGATATTTTTAAACATTGTAATGCTATTTATATTGTTTTAATATGAGAAATAGATTGTTAATTTTCGAGCTAATGCGGAATTTGATTTTGAGACAAATCCAAGAATAAAGATTGTTCTCATGTAAAAGAAACTAGCTATAACAGATGTTAATGAGATAGTGCTATAAATTGGTATCAAAGACTTAATGATATATAGAGAGATATAGAGATATTAGCATTGTAAAGATATAGCGGTGTTTACGACAATTATTTTAAGACCACTTTGGTGATTAGAAGTGTAAATTTGAATATCACCAATACTATTGTATATGTCTATACCAGTAATGTCGATTTATCATGTATAGTATCGTTTATTGGTATATCTTTGTAAAAATATATATGTACATCACTCACAGCATGATATAGGTATAAAT